GACTGGAAAACGTTCACTAGATAATACATGTGATCGTTCATATGTCATACAATAACAAAGCCTCGGTCTCGAAAAGATTCAACTCTCATTTGGAGTAGCAAGTTTTTTTCTGGATAAAAGGGTCAACTTGAGTTATATTTTCTGAATAGCATAGCATATTTACAATTAATTAACTTGTACGAGTTTTCAAAGAAATACGTTTCACCCAGAAAATCTAAATCAGACGACGTAAAATCACAATAGAAATTTACTTACGAACGCTTCCTGGTATTCAATATGATAAGACATTACTCTTTACTTTGGTGTTATTTTCAGTATTTACCGTTTTCTATAGAAACTCGCCTTCCCTCATGTTCTTGATGTCCATATTTCCTCTAAGTTTCATATGTCTTAGATAAATAACATTACTTTTAACCCCCCGACCCCCACCCCACCATTTTCCTCGTTTCATGTTTCATTACATACAAACATAACTCAAGACGCATGAAAGCCATCCTACCCCCACACTTGCGCAAACTAAAATAAAAAAATAAAAGTTATGATAATACTATACTATATATGTAGTCAGCACTTTCTGTTATAGTTCCAGAGGGACACAATGATCTATTGATTTCCAGGAAATACAAGTCTAAATGGAAACAGGAAAACCTAGATAAGCTGTAAAGAAAATGTGATGATATATAGAAGACTCGCTAAATCTTGTGTTGACTGACACTAAGTACACTTTCTAGAAATCTGTATATATTTCCATACCGGCACGCAACCCTGGTATTACGTGTGCATTTTCATATCCTTGTCAGCGTATTTCATTAAGTATTCTAGTGCAAACATTTCTCTGTGCTGTGGGTATATCTATTGACTGTACATTAGATAGATGCTTGACATGCAAATCTACTGTCGCAGATCTGAACGCCACTCCGCAGGGACAAAGCCGGCATCATAAGCTGATGGGTAAATTCCACGTCTGATTTCGACGTTTCATTCAAAAGTGGAATTATTCGTCGCGGGAAGCTAATTGACTATATCATCAAAACCATAACTCTCCTGTCGTGTTGTAAATGGCCATAGACTCGGTTTCTAGTCTCTCTACATAGCTTCAAACTAGAATATGACTTTGGCTCTGACATCTGCGGTTATTTTTGGACCAAATTTAGATGGTTGTCTTACGAGAACATCACGGTATGATTTATCAATGACATGAAATGACCTTTCCAAGCCGTCGTAAATAAAAAATCGCTAGACATAATGCGGACTCCTACTAAAGTCAAGGATATCATCCCAAGGGAAAATTAATTTTATGTCTTCACGAGACATTTCAAAATTTTAAAAATCCTTTCATTTGTACACTGTTATTGGTTCTATGTATTCGTAATCAATTTGTGATGATTTCTAATAATTATAAAATTTCCCACATATATGATGCAATCTAATATAATAAAGCTTTTATATGATGTACGTTTACAAAACGCCCCATCAGCTACAGGGCTATTTAACTTGATCGCTGGCAATAAAGCAATAGAAAGTAGAAAAAAAAACATGGGCTCACTGCTTCATGTGCTTGCAAAGAATTACATGATATTGGATTCGAAAATCTTAATCAGGTTTAATGAGATTCTCCCACAAAATCAAGGTGTCCGATTGATGGACAATGGGGAAAAGACTAGAGACATGAAATGTACAATTTGTGATATATTGAGGAATAAAATAGTATTTAAGTCGACGTCAACGGTGGACTTAATAGTCAATGTTGTCACAATGAAAAGGAGACTGAAAAGAACAATAAACATGGGTATTGTTTATACTTGGTAATGTTTATCGAGGAATAGAAGAGTGTTGAATAGGACAATAAACATGGGTTGTACGCCTGATAATATCACGAGGAATAAAATGGTATTGAATTCGACATAAACGATGGACGAAACACTTAATGTACTCACACGGAATAGAAGAATGTTGAAAAGGAAACATTAGATTATATCGATCTTTCCCTACGACGCAACCAACATGGTCAGCTTTCCATCAAAATGTATTATAAACGCGATGATTTCAATTCCCTGTTGTGAGTTTTCCATTTCTGGATAGCAATATCCCTCCATCTCCAACCTATGGTATTTATATGTCACAGTTGATTCGATATTCAAGAGTCTGTTCCCTTTATCAGGATTTTCGTGCAAGAAGTCTTCAACTGATGGACAAACTCGTAACACAATGGTTCAAAAGATACAGGTTGATTAAAATTATGGGGCAGTTTTATGGTCGCCTCAGTGATCTCATTGAGAAATATTCTATTGTGTGTGTGTGTGTGTGTATGTGTGTGGGTGGGTGAGGGTGTATGGGTGGGTGAGTGTGTGTGTGTGTGTGTGTGTGTGTGTGTGTGTGTGTGTGTGTGTGTGTGTGTGTGTGTGTGTGTGTGAAGGGGGTGAGGGTGTATGTGTGTGTGTGGGTGTTTGGGTGAGGGTGTATGTGTGTGAGGGTGTGTGTGTGTGTGTGTGTGGGTGGGTGGGTGGGTGGTTGGGTGTGTGAGTGTGTGTGTGTGACATGAAGCTGTACGTATTTGATGCTCTTTAGTTTGCCTGTTGGTTCCGTTATGGTATACCGTGTTCTCATTTGAGAACATGACATTACTTATTTGGATTGACTAAGGTTTACATGGCGGCGTCGTCGATGAAGCAGAAGACGCTTACTCTCCCGGAACACCTGGTCTTATTCTCCTTGTACTTTTTCATGAGTCTCCGTGTAAATATTTCTTTTGTTAATGTTTTTCTCTAAATTTATTATGATTGTGTTTTATAGTAACTATATGTCACATATTCCCCATTTTGAGTACCACAGGCGGTGCATGAAAATCTTATCCTATTGAATTATCGACTTTTTTTATTTTCATTTTGTTTTCTTGATGTGATTTTACACACCCAGATATTACTGGGGGAATAAGAAGGTATCGACAAGGTTGTAAGGATCGTTCTCTTCTCATCACAAATAAAATGTTATATTTAATGGACAATAAAGATATAAAGGTGTTTTTGGTTGTTTTTTTTTTTTTTTTTTTTTTTTTTTTTTTTTTTTGTGTTTGTTTTTGTTTTGTTTGTTTTTTTCCCTTTTATTGTTGAAATCGTTACGAACAGAAATTAAAAACATGACCCTGATAATAAAATGCAGTTTGATGTTTGGAATCTTCTGATAACTGACAGTACACTGAATTATTGAGATGGTCACTCTATAACATGGATATACTGCAGGACGAATACCTCAATATAAAAGACAATATCATCTCCCTTTTCACTTACCCTTTACCAATAAATATTAAATGTTTAAATGGTAAGATATTTTCATGGAAGTCACTGTGAGATCCAAGTCACGTTTTATAGCGATTACATTTCAATAGAACACGTGTCCTCTCATGATAAACTTGAAATGTAAGTTTATTATTGGCTTAAATCCATACTTAAACACGTTGTTATACTGGACAGATTCCAGGATTTAGTGTTTCACTGACCGAATAAAGCAGTGTGTGTACTGGCTAGCCAGCTAAATAGTCAAAAGATAGGTAAATAAAGTTTACATGTTTCTACTAAAATGGGGATATAGATTTTAAATTGATTGTTGTCCAATATTGGACTCTCCATCCCCTTCTCCATTGATGGCATAAACTTCCATATACAGACTAGATATTCTACCCTAAGAGTAGCTGGTCACCCTTTTACAGAATGTTGAGTCCCGTTATGCAATAATCTACAGAGAATGTATCGAGAGGTTCTGCACAAGAAGGCACAAGATGATGGACGACAGAGGTATGTCACATTTACTTAACAAAATCAGAAAACTGTAATGGTCCGATTAAATTCAAAACATCCCTCTACCTTGGTTGTAAGTAACAGTCCAGGAAACAGCTATCGGCAAATTTCACAAATGTGCTATAGATACCAAAATAACTTCATTGATAAAATAACCACAAGATTCTTCTTTTGATCCAACTTTCATATCTAATATACTGACATATATATTTATATATTACTCGATATATGTCTCTACGTGAAGAAATTCTGCATTAACAGGACTTGTATCTTGTAGACAACACCGTCGAACGTAAATGGCGAACTGACAAATACCCATGTATATCAGCACATTGGGCAAAATTACTGACTCAAAATTTTCTTCTTTAAGTTCCCGAAGGAAAGTGTACTAGTCGACTGACCGTTTTGATGAATAACTTTCTTCATAAACTAAATGTGCAATGTGAAATGTTGTATATTTCAGTACCCGTTTGGTTAAACAATAAAGACAACGAAAATAAAACACACTCAATGGAAAAGAATCACCCAATTCAAATTTAGTAAATTGAAACATTTATTTACACATAACTTGATAAACAGTCAATAAATTGAGCATTTACTGGTATGTGATTTGAAACACAATAAATTAAATATTTATATTTCAATAAATAAATAAATTCATTTGTACAGGAAAATGGCACAACACAATGTGTGAGCACAATAAGACTGGTAGATATGATATGTCTCACTTCCAACAACACAACCCTTCGGACTTTCTCGATCCCTAAAACACGGAGACAAAAAGTACACGTCGACTGAACACCTGGAATTCTTTTGTTGTATTGATGAGTTGCACAAACATACTTGAGATGATCCATGATTGTTTATGATATTGATGAGAATGCTAATGAGTTCATAAAACACAGAACACAAACAGTTCATTGCACATTTTCCAAAATAAAACAAAATAGTCTTTGATTCAATGTTGTGTCTTGGAGATTTTTCCTCCATTTGCTCCTGACTAGATCGACAATGTAATGTTTATCTTATATTATTCTGCGTATCTCCTTCCAGCCTTATCTCTTGTAGTTTAACGGAAAACATCTTCTCCATGGCACCCTGTCGGTTTTATATCATAGCTAAATGTCAGTGACACAGTTAACATTAATAAATGCTGAGGACATCACAGTAAGAGAGACAGTTCGTCACCAAGGTAACCACGTGCAATAGGACCGTCACACTGTTAACCACGTAATTAGGGCCTGCACCGTGGCCTTACATGTATATCGTCGTTAAGGGCCGTAGACATCACTCATTTGGTCTGTGAATGATAAAATTAAGATATGTTACTTCGTTAGCAAATCGAACAAAAACAAAAACAACAGCAAGGACAAACGTTACAACTATATTGTACAAATAGGAACACTCATAAGCAGCGAGAAAAAAAAAATGAAGAACGAAAATGATGTTTTACAGGTAAAAAATAACTGTCCACCTCACAACAGTTTTAATAACTTATATAAATACCTACCGGATATACAAATGTGATTTTCTTATCCTTGCCGGAATCATTTTCGGCTATACAGGTAAACACTCCCATGTGTTGAGCCCATTGCACATTTCTGATCAGAAGATCGCCGTTTGGTAAAAGCTGTTGAAATACAAAGGCGTCATTAGTTATAATATGCATCTGTTGTTAGTAAGTATCCAATTAATGAAAACAGGAAACTTAATCGTATCATAAAAATGACAACGTCTCAGATCAAACATTAACTGAAGAATGATTAATCAATGATAAGATTTCTCAATTTTTAAACTGTCATGTGTATTAATTCCTGTAAAGATTGTTGAACTTCTATAATATTGCGTAATAACTGTGATAAACATTGATAAATTGAACAGCGGTCTCACCTCGTATCCGAGATCCTCCTCCGAGATAATCTGGAGATCCGGGGTCTTCCACGTGATACGTGGTGTAGGGAAGCCTTCTGCGCGGCAAAACAACTGGATGGTGGCACCCCTTTTCTCTAACCTGTTACTTGTCCACTGATAAATGCGAGCTGGCATTTTTTCTACAACAACAGAACGGGCATTGAATAATTAATTGGCGAGGTTTGGTTGTCAGAAAGTTCTTTATATCATAAATATGATTTAATGTCCAATTATATCACAATCGAATGTTTTACTTTTTAAAAAAAAAAAAAACAACAAACGTTCATGTGTGTTCGTATATATATATATATGAGATTGAAAACTTAAAAAGTATTACTTACCAGTAAATGCTCTTTTCACAAGACAACTCTCTTCCCTGTCATCTAGAAGTCTATCTGTAAAATAATATAAAAATTGTAACGTGACATTTATTTCAATGGTATTCATATTGATTGGCTTCTCCACAAATTTTGCCATTGGATTTTGACGATTTTCATTTCAGTGACTGAATAGACAGGTGCATGTACACGCTAGGTCAGTTATAACACGTTGTCGTCAACAACCGCTAAATTGCCTCGAGCAACTCTAATCACTAGATGGACATTTCGTTTGATACACTACAAATATATGGATAGATTGCCCTCGGGGTACTTACCTACTCCCAGGGTGGTAGTGCTAACAATCCTCTGTGTGGGAGTGTCCGCCACGCAAGAGTAGTCTCCCTCCATATCCGGTGTGATACAGTCGAGATAAAGAAGAGCTTTGGTAAAACTCCTCCTTAATAATGGACGACCCTCCTTATCGACAACATCTTCGTAAAACGCCTCGTCGTTTGTATTTGAAAGCATGTCACCCTGTAATGACAAATCGAACCGTAAATGAATGTTTGATCAAAACAATGTCCAGACTACAGATACATATCACGCTTGCCTATGTAAAGTTATACCATTGTGATAACCGACGACTCGAAACTTCGACATTCGACGACCTTAATCATGATTACAACCGGTCGCCTATCGGTCAGAAGGATAACGTTATGGACGCTCCGCTTTAGATATCACTTACATACAATTACAAATGATGGATGTAATTATCAACATTTCAATGTGCCCACATATCTAATGTGTTCCTCTAAAATGAAGTTGCGTGTTTATCACGAGTTATCGGCGTTAAATGTTTGAATGTTGAATTACCATATTGGTCAAAGTCCGATGTAAAAGACAAGAAAACTAAACTTTAATTCAAATTTCAGCTTTCTATATCGAATATTGTCGCTTTCTAGACAAAAAATATTGTCGATGGACTTTTAGTTTACCAATGTTATTTACTTAAAGTAAAATGTGAAATAAATAAATAAATAGAAAAAATTAGAAATGTGTACGAGAACCTGTTCAATGCGATGTTGTCCATCTTTAACCCAGTGGATGGTAGGGGGAGGAGTACCGCCAGCCTGACATGTTAATACGGCACTCTTGTCCAGTACGACCGTCTTACGAGGTAAATCACCATTTTTCTTGAAGAATAAATCCAAGCCTGATCTCCTTGCTGAAATAAAAGACAGAGATTTTTTAAAATAATAGAATTTTACATATTAGTGTAGTATCAGACATTGCGTACAATACAATATTGAACCAGTTTGATTTTAATCTCGTGATAAATTCTACTGAACACGTCTGAAGTATATGAAATAAATAAAGCATGTTTTTTTTTCAGATTGCATTATCTGTATATATGTATTAGTTTACTTACATGTCTGTCGCTTCGCGGTTCCGTAAGGAGTTCTCGCTTCCTGCAATGACAAATAAAGACAATTAATTTCACTTATATAAAGGATTATTAAATTGCTCTGGGATTGGTAAGGATCTATTATAAAAACATGTAGCAATGTGACCTCTGTCGATTTGCGCGGTGTTGATTTTACGTACAATTTAAATTAAAAGCCATTATTTAACTACACCGGTATTACAGTTGCGTCATCTTAGATTTTGGCTGTGCGCCAAATCGTTCGGGTTCCCCTGTGACCCAAATAGTTTGGCAAAGTGCCAAGTAGGGCAGTGAGGCAATGTGCCACACAACGTTTAGAGCACTGCGTTTATGAATGAAGTGTATTACAACTCCGATCTACTACGAGGAATGCGAGCCCTTTGGCTATACAGTATGCGTCACTTGTGAACAGAAGCGGTAGACCGCGACATGGGAGTGTCGCTCCAGGTCACCCCGTATATCCTTCGACCCAAACATGCGTTACCTAGAGAAACCCATTTATAAAGTCCCCCCATACCTTATTTCTAAAATACCTTTGAAAATCAATTTTGTAAAGATCGAGTGAGATATATATATATTTTTTAAAATTTGCTTTCACAAGTTTTATTATTACCATTTTTTCGGGTCTCCGATTTCTATCCGTCAAATTGTACAATATATGGGTCAGTCTCAATTATACTTTCTACGCCTTCGAATTACTGTAAATCTTATCAATAGAACATATAATAAAAAAAAAATGTGTACTTGTGTACCAAATCGCCTACCACTCAATCATTTTCAAATTCAAGAGTCACTTTTTTTCTTGAATTTGGTGTTCTTAAAATAAGTTTCATCATATACGAGACTGTTTATAATTATATCTTACAAGCCGAGAAGTTTTCAGAATAAATAAATAAAATTGAAATTGATTTGACCACCACATTTCTGGAACATTCTGGACTTTATCGTTATATCGCAATACTTACCAGGTATCTGCCCGCTGACAGGGACAAACACAGAAACAGGGACACGAGATAGCCCAATACCGTCACACTGCTGCCCATTCCTTGTATAAGTAATCTGTTATGAAATAAAATCAAAATTATGAAACATTTTGTATACATATGAAATATAACGAAAAGAATAAATCAACAACCAACTAAAAGATTTTTAAAACTGACACTCGATTTTCTCTGTTCATTAGTTTCAATTAACTACTGAAAAAATATTTCGATTTTATCACACAGAATTTACAAATAATACAACAATTAAATATTAAAAAATAATTGTCATCAAATAGCAGGATCAATTCATGTATGAGAATGTTCCTTACCTCAAATTGAAAATCCTGAAAAACTGTGATAGAATATAATCCGAGTCTGGTGCTGTAATATATTGTCCGGAATGTATCACTAGTGTAACGTATTTCACTGTACAACTGTCCTAATCGTTATGGCCATTCACGTCTCCTGCTGTCCATTTATACCGTATGATGACGTCAACACGCTGGGAAGCGGGCTATCATTCGCTGATATATACAGGGGTGTATTCTACTTAGGTAAGCCGCGCCCACTCATTCCCAGATACGATCAATAGTCTGTAGGTTATATTGCCTCGTCTGGACACACTAACGTACTGCTTTATAGGAATTTTAGCCTTCATTTTTAACTGTAGTAGCTGAAAGCACTATTCTTGTTCTATATAACGTTTCTGTAGTGATAACACACACCAAGGACTTTTTTGATAATCTTTGATACTATACGTATATATCCCGAATGAAAGTAAAACATCGGCATTTTAATGATTTATGTGTTTGATATGATTTTCATCATTTCTTTGATACAATTAAATTTTGTCAGTGATAGTACGTATGTACATATCTCAGATCCTATATAATTTTACAGCGTTGGAAGATTTTGTCCCTTGATGTGAACTCCTCTTTTAATTAACACTGGACATTTCTCGTTATCGTGATTAAAAATAAGACCCTCCAACATTTCGATCTATGTGAGTTTACCAAGTGCGCATACATCGACTTGACGTCACACTGACAACTTGACAGTGATCACGTACATCACTACTGAACTTTAATGTGTGTCGTTATTGTTTATATATATATATATATATACACGCCTTATGTTCCAATAAGTAATTAAAAACATTGAGAAAAATCTAGTTTAAGATAATGTACGTAAAAATGTTTACATATTGTTTTCTAATTTAAAGGCTGAATTAATTATACTTCATTCAATGTATCCAATCAATTAACTTTTTTCACAATTAGAATATTTTCAAACTTCATAATGTTCAAATTAACTCTACAACCATAGATTGTTTCTGAAATGCAATTTGGTTATTTAGTAATTGTTATCATGACACATTTCAAGGACAACGTATTTCTTCAGGACGTACAGCAAATTGTCATTCCGATAGTTAGATTAATAGATTCATGTACAGCCAGAGACGTATTTTTCCATTCTAACTATCCGACAACCTTTAGTGTCCCTTTGGGGCGTTTTTCTCACTCATTCATACATCGATTACGTCAAATCTATTTCTGTCTGGATAGAGACGTCGGTCATGGTAATTCCATTATAATGGAGCGCTAGAGATCGCCCGGGGCGTGATATTTGATACTACTACGTCGGGGCGGCCCATTCATGAGTTACTAATGTGTAGATTCTCCCCGACTTCCGTGTCTGTGGGGCAGGTGCGAGGTCAACGAGGTCACGATTTCATTACCATCTCAAATTTTGTTACCAAAAAGTAAGTCAAGACATCAACCAAATAAGAAAGACTAAAAATAGTTTTATTTGTTTCTTTCATTATCTGAAATTTACCAATTTTAGTTTAAAAAGTGTAAACCATTAATTCGTTTTTGTTCTTCTGGTACCTGGCTATCTTCTAGGAGAGCTAATCACACCAAAACTTAAGATAATCTCAAACCACTTGTGTGATAGCTATTTTGATGTCATATATCTAATACACCATATATATTATGATACACCAACCATTAGAATAAAGACGAGGTGACAATCCGTTTCACAATACATCAGTCTAACGGAGAGGCCATTATCTAGAATATTCTATCAACAGTGACTTTCTCGGCCTTTCACGAGTCGAGTCAGGTTCGATTCTCCATTCTGAAGTGAACATGTAAAGGGGTGTGGCAACGTGTGAATTTTTCACATGTTATCTGTTTACGCTAACATAAGTTAACATAACTATTTCCGATGTGTTGTGAAACGAATAACGTTAAGTAAAGTTGAAAAACTGTAGATAGGGTGTATTACAAATATGTTTATACACGAATTTCCATTCCATGTCAGAATTAGGAAAACAATTATTGAAGAAAACACAACTTCTCAAGCATTTTAACAATCAATATTTTCATTATTATCCAATCGTGTGACGTAATTTCATTGTCTTACTATGACGGAACAATAGATCATTTTGGGTTCTTGATAAATATGAAAAAAAAAATATATGTGTGTAGTAACTGAATATTATTTCAATCATGTTGTTCCATAAGATACACACTGACAGAAGTGTAAAATAACTTATTGCTTTTAACAGCGAACACATTGTAAGTCAGTCTCTGTAGGACTTTTTACATTTCAATGCGAATTACAATTTACAGTTTAAAGTTTCATTAATTATTGATCGTGTATTTATTTAGTTTTTAGGTCAAATATAATAATTTTTAATTAGTAGCCGCATTTGCTTGATAACATATGACAAGGGTGATGCAGCCTTATGTATAACAATATTATCATCATTGTTTTCCTATACTTTTGTTATTGTCTATATTGATTATCGTATTGGGGATTAGTGATTCGGGTATTGTTGGCACGCACTGAAATGTTGTTATTGTTAATATTCTATATCTTTGCAGCTTTGTTGTGTGATGGTCTTTTGTTAAATTGTTGATATAAATAAATGTGTTGACACTATTAGTAGCTGTGTTTTGTGATGATCTTTTGCTATATTTGTGATATAAATCAATGTGTTGACACCATTAGTAGCTGTGTTGTGTGATGATCTTTTGCTATATTTGTGATATAAATCAATGTGTTGATATAAATCTATATGTGTATAAATCACCATTAGTAGCTGTGTTTTGTGATGATCTTTTGCTATATTTGTGATATAAATCAATGTGTTGACACCATTAGTAGCTGTGTTTTGTGATGATCTTTTGCTATATTTGTGATATAAATCAATGTGTTGACACCATTAGTAGCTGTGTTTTGTGATGATCTTTTGCTATATTTGTGATATAAATCAATGTGTTGACACCATTAGTAGCTGTGTTGTGTGATGATCTTTTGCTATATTGTTGATATAGATTTTGTTGTCATTGTTTTTCGCCTTTGGTTGCCATTACTAGACGTAGTTTGTTAAACATAATCGCTATTTTACATTATTTTATTTTCTGTCATATATTCACTTATTTATTAGTAATAGCCTTATTCCTTTGCGAATTGGTCATGTAACGATTAATATTGATTTGACGAACGCCATTGTATTATACACATGACCTCCGTGTTGTGTGTACCATTAGACAAACGGCTTATATCTATAGGAACAAGTCAACCAGTACGTTGGATTTTAATCCCACCATCTCATCGTTCAAATCTGAAAGCTGATATTTTTCCACACAAAAATGCTGAAAGCGGAAGTCAAATGAACATTATTTGACTCTTATCTGGCTTGTTTTTTAGACTGAAGTTTTATGTTGGCACGGAGTCACATTTTATAGCAAGTAAAATGAAGATGTCATTTGACCAATATCGGGAGTTAATTACAACAATTTGTGATATATTTGTTAACTCGCATGTACATCAGGAACGTTGTATTTGGACAAGTACCACTTGAGTAGGTGTATTTGGGTAGGATGTAACTTCTCGTCCTTTGATGTCGGATGTGTGTACAAAACCAATTAAACTTTATGCAAATATAATTGTTATATTAAACTAATTAGCGGTTTGGTATCGATGTTGGTAAATACATTCTTTGTCTTGAGTTTACGATATGCCTGGTGACCAAAGTTTTTCATCCTATCATCATTTTGTTGTATCCTAATATGAATATATAGCCTGTGTATTCGCACCCTTAGAAATAGTGTATAAGTATTCACAAAATGTAGGTAGAAGGATTA